CCTGAAAACAACGTTAATTATTGTTGAGTGAGGGCGCTATTTACTAATGGGAGTAATCTTTTAAAAGTACAATATTCTTAGTTATATTGACACCTGTTATTAAGTATGATGGATCCCCACAATTGGATACAAGATCATAGAAGTTTAAAATTAATATTGTTATCCGTAAGAAACATGAAACCATTAAAATGCTTATGCTTATTTGTATTACTGTTGACAAGTTTGGTCACCCAGTTTACAATTCACCATGACCATTTCCATATGAACAAAAGCTCCAGCCAATATCAGATTTGACTGCCTGTTCTAAGGTGTGACACTTGGAAATGAGTGTTGTGACATGTGGCAAATGTCCAACTGTCTTGAGTAATAAGATCGGATAATTTTCAACTAGAAACAGGTATATCTGTATGTACGAAGCCAGTGAATTTGATTCAAGCAAAGGAAACTGCATCTACGTATATAAATACTCATGGAGAATATTTTCTTAGAGTACTAAATGTGGCAATTGCCCTGTGCTGATTTTAAATATGTCACACCAACCCAATAGCGCCTGACGATGAGATGGGTAGCCAAACAAAACATTGACTGCAGCATTTCAAAAGGACTGAATTGTTGCCAATAGCAGCAGACGTATTGAAAAGTCAAAGACAGTGAAAAAGAACACACATGCATATAAATCCTAGCTTCCTATAATCTTTATTTGCTCCAAGTAACCTAAAGTAGAACGAGATGAATTAACACTATAGTCCGCCATCTTTATTTTAATATTGGAGGCAACCATTATCTTATGGAGGACCACGGGTCATAACTTGAGGGGAGTTAACAACCATGATTTTAAAATGCCTTGATCAATAAGAGTCTAAGTTACAGGGAAACAGTTTTTAATTTTTCAGTGAACCAATAAATGCATTTGACAGGATAATATAAAAAACCTATCACAACATCAATCAAAGCAGCTTGCTACATTGTAAGTATCGCTTCCCTGTCAAATCAGTGATTCATTATAATTTGAAACTATCACAACTTGCTAGGCTCAAACTTCCATCCAATTAGAGCATTCCAAATAAAGATGATTATATTTATATATGTGGTTGTATGTCATGGACATTTGCAATTCGGTGTAGGTATAGTGACGAAATAGTGGACCAGAATTAATGTTGTTTAGCATTTTACTTATTCTTAATTAATAGGGGTAGAATAAGTGTTCTATGGTTACATAAATGTTGTTTTAGTGTTATCTCACAGGAATGTAATAGCCAATTTATCGCGTTTAACGATTTAAGGATGTGTCATCTGTAGTTTGGTGGATGCAATTTCTATTAATAAAATGACATTTTAGAGATTATTTTAAATATGGGACGGTGAAAGTCGCTGTATTGTTTTACGTGTTTGGAAAGAATGTACGTACGGCAAAAAATATCAAAATCGAACGGTAACTATTTTTTAGGGCTAAAGTGTGTATCTACACCAATAGCATACGAGCTCAAATTACAGTTGCCAGCTAAGAAGGAAACACAGTGCCGTAATATAAAATATTGGTGACGAGACTCTGATAGTTTGGTCGGTAACGGGCTCGTTGTACTCAGGATCAGGACAGTGATCGGAGTCAATATTCGGCTCATATTTACCACAATAACCTGGAGCGATTGGCTGTGCCTGAATACCACGTCTGAAAAAAAACACAGTACGTACGGAGTG